TTTCTTGGGAAATTTTAACGGATTAATCAAGTCCGACAACCATATTTTTAAAAATAAACATTAAATAGACATGGATTGTTATTGTAAATTTCCTTCAACATTCGGACATGGAAGAAGTGAAGTCTCTCGAGTTCCTGGACCCCTCGATTTCATCGAAACGTGGGATGTTGGTTAATAATACTAGGATATTAATAGAAAGACGAGGGCGTGCAGTCTCAAGCGCAGTGATAGCAGCGAAAACTTCTTCAATTATCCTCTCAAATCTTCAATGACATCATGCAAAATATTCAGTGATCCTCGTATTCATGAAAAAAAATACTGAAAACCTCCAACAGAAGCTCTCCCCCACAAAATGTTAAAATAAAGACACGACAAAAAATGGAAATAGTCTCTCCGGCAAGATTGTGAGATTTACATTTACGTTTACGGTGTCAGGGATTGAGATGGAGCAAATTAAATGCAAATCTGGTTTAAACTGTGGGTGGATCGAGGCTGCGCTGTTATAAGGATTGAGTTCAGAATTTAAAACGTTAAATTGTCTTATTCTACAGCTCGTAACGTCTCTCTTCACTTGACATTCGTTTCTGTGATTATGATTCTTTATTTCGTGCTAATTTGATTCCATCACCGCGCAGGCAGATTTTTTTTCTCAGTGCAATCCTTATTCATCAATTAAAACCACATTAAACTCATTTAACAGTCGAGAAAATTTCCCAATTATCTCTGGTAATTATGGAAGTTTCGTTCGTGAAATTCTGATGAATAGGCCCTCTCGATTATGATACAATTTAATGATTGACTCGGCATGTTCATTAAATCAACGAGTGGACGTTAATAATCGTCGTAAACTCAATCAAAATTTATCCAGTGCAGTACTCGTTTTGCTCCGGTATTTTTTCCTCGGTTTCTTAATGAACCCCGTGTGGGCGAGCTTTATTGTTCTAGCCACAGTTGCCATTCGTTCTCTCCATGTCACTTGCGGAAGTGGAAAGACGCTTCGCATTTTCTTTGGGTAGTTTTTTTAACCCTATGAAAATGCGATCCCACGCTCGCTGGCCATATCAGTCGATGAGTGGGAGGGAATACCAAGATTTTTCCGATACACTTGGTTTTTCTTTTTCCCAGTTGTCTTTAAATCGTTGTGATTTTCCTCCAGTATCTCTTATATTCAAGAAAAAAGTCATGAAACGCAATCTATCACCTATTTCGATCAATCTTTGACTGAACATATTTATCTGTAGAAAAAACGAGCGATGATTTTTCGTCCTAAATGCCTACTTTAGACATATTTTTTTTAATCTGAGGAAAGTTCCAATGAAAACTCATCCAATTTGATCTCCGGCGAAACTATGAAAAGACGTTTTTTATCAGGAATTTAATCCGCTTCAAAAAAGTTCTCCAAGCATTTTTACTCGTATCAATAGTTTCCGAGATAAATTAACAAGCCTCAACTTTTTTCGTCAAAATGAAGAGAGTCTCTGAAAGTTATTGCTAATGAACTCATCAGTTCTTCACGTACTAATGACCGCGATGCCAAGGCAAATATAAACATTCGTCTATTTCAAGAGAATCAAGGCTCCCGGGAATGAATCTCGGAAAAGTTGTAAGAGGATTACGACTTTGCAGCATGTAAACCACTTACAGGATGTTCCACCGAGTTTTTCCCATCTCACCTTGGAAAACCAGTCGAGAAGCCTCTGATGGACCTTCCTCCCGCCATAATCCCAAGAATTACGAGAGTCGCCGTGATTCAAAGCTCTTGACAATTATCACCGAATAAACAAAATTGTCCTCCATACGGATTCCAAGTACAATTTCGCCACAATAATTTCACCTATCTCCCACAAAGCTCACGCTTCATTTGCGAAAATTATTCCCCGTCGTCGGTGATATACGCATTGGCCGGATATCTCGTACCACTGGTGTAAATTAAATTTAACGTCACCTCTCCCATCCCCTTTTTTTTTCACCAAACGGGTGATTCGTTTCACCTCTTTCTCGTACAATGTCGACCCACGCGGCGGTCTCATATCACTGGGGAGCCATTGTCTACCCAGTAGTCACATGAATCTTCTCCCAGGATATTCAACCTTTCTACCAGAAGTGAAGAAGAATTGCTCCTTTTTTCGCTAGACCAACGCAAATAATAAATTAACAGCGTCGATTTATAATTCATTACGAAAGAAATAACTGTTAGGGAATTACACTTGAAATTCTTGACAACGATAAAGTGAAATTAAATTTCTGGAGAATTCTTGACTGACGAATCAGTTTAATTTTTTATATCCTGATAATTCATTATTTTCAGGCTCATATAAAACTGATAAATTGTGAAAATGTCGGGAATTTTTACCAGTGATACTACAATTATAATAATTCCATGCAATTTTTCATCATCAATTTTCGGAAAAACCCCTTTGAAAATTTTTTCGTAAAGTTAAAAACCTTTTAATAACATTCATTAAAAATATCTGAAGTTTACTTAGATAAGAGAACAACAAAGTTGCAATACCCTTGGGATTCTTCTTCTGTATTTCATATAATACCGTGGAAATTCCCGCAAGTCATCCCTAAATTTGGCACTTTTCCAAATTTTTCATGCCGAGAAATTTCCCAAAAAACGAAACAATCATCATGTTTTGTCTAGCACAAACCGCCATAAAATTGCCATCGGCAGTATAAGAAAATCTATTCGAGGCACAAACGTCGAATAGCGCTGAACCGAATGAACGTTAAACCCCACAAGTCTGAAACAGTCTGCACTTGGCAAAGTGCCTGGAGAACAACTTCCACCAATAAAATCGCCTCCCCGACGTCATCGAATCCAAATCACTTCCGTATTTCCCTTTCCGCTCATGAAAATACAACCGATCGGCACTAATTCCACTCCCTCAATCCACAGTTACCATCAATAGGGTCAACAACCCCACGACAATACCCAGATAAAGAACATGAGAATGCCCCGCGAAAATTCCAATCTCAATTGTGTTATAACACTATCCTCCACTCCATTCTCATTCTTTTAATCGATTTTTGTTATTTCCATTCCCACTGAATCGTTGACGGGGATGCGTTGGTGCGATAAATGGTTATCGTGATTGCGGCGACCGTTTGTCTCCGCACACCGGGGGTCATAGGAAAATGGAAGATAATGGTGGATTGCAGTGGAACGTTTTGTTGAATTTATGGGACATCGACAGGAATCTTTACGATTTCTTCAACCGCCATTTTTTTTTATTCAAAGATATGAATCACGATCACGACTCCTGGACAACTTATTATATTTCAATCGCCCTAAACAATGAAAATCTTCACAATCCGATCTATATGAAGCAAATATAGGGAGTCAATAATTTTTATTAACTTCCTGGGGAGACAAGTAAATAATATAGTTGTAATCACCATAAGAATTTCAAATCATATCTTCACTGTATCTTGACGATTCAAGGTCGTCCCAACATTTTCCGATTATTTTCAAAGCGATGTGTTCATGTGTGTGTAGGTGTTCGTGTGTGTGTGTATGCGAGCGTGTCATCTAGGCAAGTATAACCGAAAATTTTGGTTGATAATATCTCCTAAAGTTATGATGTAATCAAGGCCATTGATGACGCAATCGAAGGGCCTTGATGTCACTTAGAGCAGATCAGATATTTGAATAATTAACTGCAACAGTTCTCCAATTTTCCCGGAAAAAAACATATTTATAAAAAATATTTTCGCCATTTTTTGCTTTGCTTTTTATAAATGATTTGTGATTACCGATCCAGTGAAAAGGTCTTATGTGACTTATGAAAAAATTGTCTGTTAACTTTTTTTCGTGATATTTTTTCATTTTTTGCGTATTTTTATATGAATCTATATATGTGTATAATGAAGAGACTTCGGAGAAATGAATAAAATCGGCAAGTTATTGGTACGGTCATTCTAACGGGCCGGTCAGACCCACTGAAATTCACGATTACTAACGCAGACGAAAAAAAAATAGAATCAAGTATATTAATATACGTAAAATAAATACATTATTATACTTGTTTTAAATATATTCTATCCTTGGTCCTATACCATAGGCGATTTCCAATGGTAATACGGATGAAACATGGATTTTTCCGGAATTCCAATATCTTATTTGACATAAAGCCTATATATACTTGAACTAAGTATAAAATATACTTGATTCAAGTTTTTTTTCTGGTGGACCAATGAACGTCCTTCTAGTTCTTTTTTTTCGCACCAGGATTTTGGTCTAGTTGGAACAGTTGAGGCAATCCCTCTAGCTGTCCACTCTTACGAAAATAGTATATTGTGTCACAAGTGCGTAAAGAACCGCCTTTCAGCACGCACACGCAACATTTGTTGGGATATCCCTGCTGATTCATTGTTCGGAACCGTAGTGGGGGTGAAAGGTTTTCTTTTTGTGCACGCAGTGCATAAAAATCAAGGAGGTGTGTAAAGTTACACTTTACGCACTCAAAGATCATTTTGCGCATCACCTCCGAATTTTTTTGCACATCGTGCAGAATATATTACATCTATTTGATATATTGCATTTTCTTCTGCGAATATATTTCATGTATATATCAGATATATACCGAATATGTGCGTGCAGTGTATATTATGTGCTCACATATATTCAGCAAATATCTGATATATTGTATTTTTTTCCAGAATATATGCACGTATAATTAATATACATTTCGCAAATAGGCACGAATCTAATCTCGAGATAAAATCAGCGAACTGATTTTTTAATTGAGAATTTTCTCGCTGAGTGTGCCATAAGCGGGTGACTAGTGCGGCAAACATCAAATAAAATTTAATTAATCAGGTATCATTAGAATGACTATGTTGTCGCAGTTTAACCCCGGAATATCCTCGAAATTAATCGCGACTTGTTGCGGATAAGCCGGGGGGTTCTGATTGGTGAGAGCCAGTTGAATTATCCGTGTCGGTACTATTTCAGATCATTAACGCTGAATATTTGATATCAGGTGGTTAATTACCTTGCACCCACAACGACCTGCTGTCTGGCGACGTCAAAGAGAAGTTGAGAGTACGTCGTCACTCCTTCGTCGTAAAAGAGGCTGCTCCTCTCTACCAAATCTGGAAAAATGCATAATTTATTTATATATTAATATATTTCGAAAACTATCGATTTAAGATAAAAAACCAAATAAAGGACTTTCTTCTCGCTGATTATACTTTTAATAAAAAAGATCCTCCAAGAATTCTTCCGAAAATCAATAGATCAACAGATAAGATCAATCGATCTTCAACAAAACTATAAAATTCGTCTCATTTCGCATGCAGTAGAACGAATCTTCAGTCCAAAATCCCAAGTGCTTTTCCACCTTTCCAATAATTGGAACTACATTGTGCCCCTATCGATTCAATGTTCTATCGATAGTCGAATCATCCTTGACGATCCGTTTTTTTATTTCAATCCCCAAGAATAAACCCGGAAAAGAATTGATTTCCCTCGCTCGAGAAAATGTTTTTTGCAACAGTAAAATAAACTTTTCCACTAAACGAATATAGAAAAAAGTCTCATTAAACGTCAAAGCCCCATAAAACGATAGCTATTGTTATCAGTCATAAAACAAATCATTAAACCAAAATCATGAAGCTCAATAAACGAGAGCCCTCGAACCGAAAAGAGGCAATCTCCATTCCATAAAGCAACAACTCCCTCCTGAGGTCTCCAACCGGGTTTATCACATGCATTGCGATTGCCATTCCCATATCCTGGGTTATATATACCTTTTCACTCTCTCTCCTCCTCGTCGGTATACAAAATGCCTGTGTTACAGGGGCGTTAAATGTCTCCAAGGAGTGAGAAAGAAAAATAAAAGACAGTGACGATGTGGAGGGAGTAAAATGAGAATGAAGGAGAGATGAGCCTGGTTTTCCTGGTGAAGGACGATGTAAATATCCTCGCCTGTACTCGTTTTACAGAGCACATGTATTACACCCTTATACCCCCTTCATCTCCACATGCCTCCCTCCCCCTCCTTCCGCCCCTTCCCACCCCTTATATGGAGGGAGAAGGGAGGAGATGTAACGAGCCATCGGAAGAGAGGAAAATGAGAGACAGGTCACTCGTAAAGCAAAACCATCGATTCCACTAGTCGTTTCGTCCATGTTTGAGAGTTGAGGTTTTTAGCTAGAAAAATTTAACCACCCGACATCCATACATGCCTGGCACGTATCAATTCCCCAACTAACGACCGGAGTCAACTCGTTTCTACTCGACTCTACAGACTTTTTTTCCTTATTTTCGATGGGTGGATGCGTTAATGTAGTCTCGAAGCCTCTTTCTTGGTAAACGTCAACTTCCCTTTGATTCATGGTTTTTCCAGTGGTCAGGAGATTTCCCGGGAATTGTGGTGCTGATCTTTTATGCGGGAAGGATGAAATATTCATTTGCGAGACGGCTAAAGGGTTTTTACCGCACAATCTCATCGACAGGGTCTAGAGAGAATATTTTCAGATGTTTCTGTTTGACTTTGGGATTTTAATAACGAATATTTATGAATTCTCTTTGGAGATGATAGAAAATGGAGTATTTTTTGGTATCCCCTACTTTTTAATAGTTTTGGATTGAACTTTTGTCAGTTTATAGTTGAAAAAGCAAGAAAATACCTGTGGCAAGTACGTTTATTAATGAGGATACCTATTATACTTCCTTATATCCGTAATTTCCAGTTCTACTCGGTGTATTCGGATTTTGCAATTTTAACTAAAAATTTTGGAGAGTGGAGGCGGAGAGGAATGCTTTATAATTCCAAATTGAAAAAAAAACAAAAAAGTTACATGAAGTTGATGACTTATTTAAAAAAATAAGATAACAAAATGTATATCATATCTTGTTTCTGAATACTCATGTTCCATTGAAAATTGAATCGAGTTGTGAAATTTCAATCCTGCTGCGAGGGGAAACTGATGAATGTCTATACTTGAAATGTGAATTCTCTCAGCGGTTCTTTTTCTTTCTGATTTCTTCCAAGCAATTTCGAAAAATTTCTAATAATTTAGAATCGCGTTGAATGCCATAAACATTTACCTTCAATTACTTTCTAACTTATGAAGAATACAAAATATTCTTCTAACAAGTATAAAGTATACTTGTCAGAAGTTATTTCTTGACTGATCAGAAATTATTAATTTTTAGAATGTACTGTTAAAACCGAACAGTTTTAAATCAATTGAAACGCTTCACCGCTTCCATATTGAATTCTTGAAAAAAAAAATCTAAGAAGTTAAGGTAAAATTTCCATAGAATTTGGCTCGGGGCACCTGCATTCCAATAAAATAAATCACCACCCGCACAGATACGCCTAATTAAAACAATGTTGCATAATTGGAATGCCAAACAAATCGTCAAGTC